TCTCTCTCTCTCTCTCTCTCTCTCTCTCTCTCTCTCTCTCTCTCTCTCTCTCTCTCTCATATGCCAGGTACTAACCTGTGAAGGTGGCGCTGTGCTGCAGGTACCTCGAAGACGAAGCTGGAGCTATGGCGCCGCAGGTAAATCTCCCTGGCCTCCGCCCAATCTCTCTCTCTCCCCAGTACTACTCTAACTCCTAACAGCGCCCAGCGCTGAAGACTACTGCTAACGCTACTAGCGCCCAGCACTGAAGACTACTGCTAGCGCTACTACTACTCCTGCAGCGCTCCTCCAGAGTGCTGCTGCCGAATACTGAAGACTCCTGCCTCCTGAACTGCACGTGAAGTGCCTGGGAAGTCCCTATGAACTACCTGCAGCCTGCAGGGCGGGCCAGTCCTATATAGTGCTGGCCCGTCCAGGAGGCTGCTCTTGCCAATGCTGAAACGTGCCAGACCCTGGCGTTGAAGCTCAACCAAGGGTTGTCTTGAAAACAGGTCCAAACTGGCCTGTGCTAAAACCCTGGTCTGTTGCCTGAGTTTCAGGGCAGGTCGATCTCATGAGGGCCTGAAAATGACCCTCCGTTTCAGGCTGAAAAGCCTCAGGGCCGGAAAGGCCCTGTTTTAGGCTGAAACGGCACAGGGCCTGTAGGCCCTTGTTTTCAGGCTTTCAGGCTGAAACGACACAGGGCCTGTAGGCCCTTGTTTTCAGGCTTTCGGGCTGAAAACGACACCGGCCTGAAAATGGCCCGTGCAGCCTGTTGCAGGCGCAGCATGTAACAGTCTCTTGTCCGAAACCAGGATCCGGCGTGCGTTCCCCCTCCTTTTCGACCAGGCAAGAAGTTCAAAGATATTTTTTGCATTAGATAGTCGTTAGGACCCTCCTCTGTCGCTTTCCCGTTTTTGTCCGTCGCTCCATATCCGGGACCACACGGGAGATTTCAGTTTTCTGTGTCTCCATATTCAATTTTCCAAAAATACTTGACACAAGCCATTTTGCCACTTTCCAGTCCCCCTTCCGCGCTTTCGTCACTCCGACAAGGAAAGCTGAGCAGGGTGTGATGTTAGAGCGTCACACACACTACGGCTGCAGAGTCATGCATACCTCTACTCTCACCAGTTCTCCTCCTATGCTCACTAACGCGACTGCAACTAGCTCTAACAAACTAACTCCCAACGCTTCTCGCTAGCAGCCTGGTGGTGAATAGAGCAAACTAATTTTGAGTCTCAAGTACTCCTGAGGCCCCGCCATATACCGCTGGGCTAGTCTCTCCTCCATCCGGTAGTCCTCCGGGGTCGTCCTATGGAATCCCATCTGATGGTCCAGGAGGGTTCCCACAGTCCTGTTCCAGTGAGCCAAGCCAAGAAAACGAGTGGCCCAGATCCCTACCTGAAGTCCAGCTTCACCTCCAAGTTCAGCAGCCATACCTGGGCCTGCCTAGAATAAACAAGGGCTGGACCAGGCGCTAGTGGACAGAAAAAGGTCCAGCCCTAATGTGGGCAAAGTCTGCAATGCCTCAGACAACCAGAGTGCGTGAACCAGGCTTACCGCTGGTCCGGACAGGGATTTGTGGCTGTTCAGACATCTGCAATCAGACTCGTTTTCAAACACACTTTTCACACATGTAAACAGTAACGCAGCACACTGGCAACATGCGCCCACTCAAAACTCAGAGATATGG